TGTGTGTGTGTGTGTATATATATATATATATATATATATATATATATATATATATATATATATATATATATATATATATATATATATATATATATATATATATAAATAAGAAATCAAATAAAAATATTTCGCACCCAAATATTTTTGTTGACATTTTATTGACATCTTTATATGTATATAAAGAGGTCAGATACAAAAAAAAGTCTAAATGCTGTCTTAATATTTTTTTTTTTCTAAAATGGTCATTTTACTCCTGTGTGTAACTTAAGTAAATCCACTAATTATGTCATAGGTTCTTTGCATTGCCTTTAGAGTGAAATAACTGAACATAAATATAAGAGGCTTAGAAACATGCTCATTTGAGGAGAAAATGTCAGATGGCACTTCGAGATTTTTACATCTGAACCCTTCAAGTAGTTTCAAAGAAAACTTCTTTTTACAGGACTCTTTCTAACATTATAAAATACTTGAAGCAGTCAGTCAAGTTTACATTATTTTGTAAATCGATTTCCACAAAGAAAATATATATTACAAACTCGATTATTAACTCTTTTGAAAAAAAAGCATGTTTTACTATACATTTTAAAGCTAGGGAGCCAGCATCTCATATCACTGTGTCTAACGTTGCGGTGTTGGTTCCGTTCCCTCAGCTGAGCAGATTTTCTTCAAAATGTAATATATACTGTATGTTCATTAAAGTGGAAACCAATTTACAAAATAATGTAAACTTGACTGACCGCTTCACTTCCACTTTAAAGATGCTACTTTTGATCAATTTAATGAAATGGTAGATTTGAGAAGAATAATGTGATACTAAAAACTTAGTCATGACTACTGAAAATTCAGCTTTGACATCACAACAAATAATAAGTTATAACTTAATTCATTTAATCATTTTCTTTTTGGCTTAGTCCCTTTAATCTGGGGTCAACACAGCGGAATGAACCGCCTAACTTAAAATAGAAGTAATCAAAATAAAAGCAGCAAGGTATCTTTATTATGATAAAAGTTTGAAATATTTTAGAATTAACCACGATGGCGATGCTCAAAATATCTATTTTAGAAATGTTCAATTATCCATGACCCCACGGCAGAACAACAGCATACACTACTATTACAATGATCACCTCAGGTACTGATTATGTACTTCATTCAGTGTTACATGCTACTCGAGTGAGTTTAAACACCATTTCACATGACAATTTTTGCCATAATGAAAGCGGTAGCAGACAGTTTACCTTAGATCTTTAAAATATCAATACATTGTATTCTAATTCAATTGCAAAGGCAGACATTTTGACTGTTGTTTACTGTAATTCAGAAACATTAAAAATAAAACTCCTAAAACTGTAATATTCAGTTTTTTTTCCCCTAAATGTATATTATTGTGTCAGAAAACCTGTAATGAGAGATTTAATAAGCATCATATTTTTATGAGGGCCTTTTCAGACCCGCTTTGATGTAAAACAAAGACTTAATTTGATACAATCTTGGACTTTCTTCTCGTTTAGCCTCGCTTATTTACCAGACAACTTTTTGAAGCAAACATAATAGCCTGTATGTCCTCTCATTGGTCAGAGAAAACCTATTAGTTCAAGTTGGTTTGCTTCGCAGGCGTATTTTGGCTTTATCAGTCATGACACTCACATACACTGCAGGTATGTAGCCATAATTTCAGCTCTAACTGATAAATTATATATATTTAAGACATGTATAATTTATAATACAGTTGGAGTGGGAATCAAAGCCTCGTCCTGGCTTCATACTCACAGTGAGAAATTTCAGTTGAAGAGCCGCTCTTTGGTTTAAAGCTGCAATAACTGATGTGTTCACTCATAGAATCACACATCGCTGCTTTTTGTATAACACATTTGTCATTATGGGTTATGATACCACATAGTTTGTTGATTTCTTAAACTAAATGCAAACTTGTTTGGGTGATCTTAGAACAATTGTCTTAGTATTGAGTGCAGTATTGTGGTCATATGCCTAAATAAATTGAATTAAGAAAGAATATTCAAGCAGAGACAAAGAAACAGCTTTACTTGCTCTGCTTTTTGACAGTAATAGACTATGGAGATTAACACAACAAATATATTTATCACTGACAAGCCTTATTTTTATATTTGAATTAATTTATTTAGAAATTAACATGAAAGCATGTTTGGTAGAACTGCATAGACTTTCTTGAAGATGTGGAGAGTGTCAAAATAAAGGTAGCTCTTAAAATGTTTATATAGCTGTCAATATTTTATGACTAGCATTGATACATTCTATCACAAGTCAACACTTGAACTGCAGAGGCAGCCAGTTTGACTGTTGTTGACTGTTACAATTCAGAAACATTAAAAATAAAACTCTTAAAACTGTAGTATTCAGTTTCTTTTCCTAAATGTATGTGCATTTAATTCTTTTTTTTTTTTAAAGAGTTGAGTGTTTCTACCTTGAATGGCCAAATTGACTGCATATACATTTCAGCATCCACTATTTTTTTTTCCTATTGCATTTAAATGTGCGTGCCTTTGTTGCCAAGCAATGTTTTGCTAACAAAAACAAAACTTTACTTCACATACATTCAAAAACAATATTTTCACGACATTTGCTCATGACGTGATGCGCATTAACGTGTGGTTTAGTAACTGTTACACAATCGTAGGCTATATTGCAAAAAAATATTGTATTTCTAGGGGTATAGACAGAAATTCACAGATTATTGCAGATTTTTAGCCCATCAGAGTCTATTTATTTACTTGTGTAAATGTGTGTACATTTACTGTATATTTATTCAGTTTTAAAATCATTTTAGTAGTATTATTGATTATAGTGGTCCCTCATTATTTGCAGGAGTTACGTTCAAAAGTCCGCAATAGGCGATATCCATGAAGTAGTCAGCTTATTTTTTTACAATTAATATAGTTGTTTTAAGGCTAAAGCCTCACTACACTCTTTATACACTTTTCTCTGACAGGCATTACAAATTTCACACTTTTCTCTTTGTTGAAACACTCTCAAGCCTTCATAGAAAAATAAGTCCAGTATTATGGAAGGAATATTGATCTTCATTTACTTATTCCGTAATGGTGCCCTACAGCCACTTAACTTCTACCTTCCTTTAGCATGTCCAGACGTTCAACTTTTTGTGCGAAGGTTAGCATCTTACTCTGCCTTTTGGGTGCCACTGCAGTCGTCTTTGACAGTGCAGAATGTTTTGTCAACATTGTAGAGAGAAAACATGCAAACATACAATACATTACAGCACAAAGTCACACTGTTCGATTGAAACGCAAACTGAACGCATTCTGTGCTGTACAGGAGACATGGCGCGAAGGGGATTGATTGAGAATGGTCTACAGGCAGTCAGGACACTGAACACAATGCGCTGTTAAAGAAAAAGAAGTGAAATTACATGTAAATTTTTCAGCAGACATGGCAAAAAACAAAATGTCCAAATATTATATCTGACCCTAGAAATGACTTTCTAAAATATAATTATAAACATATATCTCAATAAAAGCTTTTAATATAGATATGTAGTGACAAAAATTCAATTCGGTACATTCTTACAGTATGTGAATAGTCAATGTCTACTATTCCAATTTCAGTTATAGAATTCTGGTAGTTCTTGTGTTAATTATTGTATCATTCCATTATTATAGATCATTACACCCCTGCTGGACTACCCTAGCAAATGGACAAATTTGACTACATGTCTTGTTTAAAAGCTTGCTGTTGTTGAACGATCAACTCTGTCTTTGTTTACAGAGAGCATGTTGAGGACAGCCAGTAGCCCGGACAGTCTGAGGTCCAGGACGCCCATGATCACCCCTGATCTAGAGAGCGGAACCAAACTCTGGCACCTCGTGAAGAACCACGACCACGCAGACCAGCGCGAGGGAGATCGCGGCAGCAAGATGGTGTCAGAGATCTACCTGACACGACTGCTGGCCACCAAGGTGAGCTTTTCTCTCCTTCATATTGTCCATCTTGCAGTTTCAGGATGAGAAAATGCAGCAGAATTACACTGAAATAGGTTCATTTTAAATGTAACCTTGAGTTAAACAATTGAATCTGATTGATTGGAATCCATTCAGCCAATCTCCTGGTTTGCAGGAGCACTTTTAGCTTAGCTTAGCATAAATCATTGAAACGGATTAGACCATTAGCAGCTTGCTCAATGTTTTTGCTTCCTGATGCCTGAAATTTCTGATTTAGAAACTGTTACTATTTTCTCTGACCTCACAGGCAGAACAACAGCATAAACTACTATTACAATGATCACCTCAGATGCTGATTATGTATTTTGTTCACTGTTTAAATGCTACCAGTGTCAGTTTGAACTGCTTATTGCTCATTGCACATGTCACCTAGAGGTGAACATTTGATTCTTACTATTTCATGAATCCATTTAGCTGATCTCCACGTCTGGCGGGAGCACTTTTAGCTTAGCTTAGCATAAATCATTGTATCTGATTAGACCAATTGCAACTTGATCAAATGTTGCTTCTAATTTAAAGCATCCACAATGGCAATTATCAAAATTTTTACTTTTTAATTTTCCATATTTCTAATTGAAAGCTTGACTCTTCTGTAGTTACATCATGTATTGGTTGATATGGATAAGAACTACACTTTCATTCCGGCTTAATAATCAAGGAATTTTGCTGCTGTACCATGGCTGCAGAAGGCACACTGATATTATGCATCATTGTAACATAATTAACTAACAGCATTGTAACATAGTTAACATTGTCAACTATAGTTAACTATTTTCCAGTGCTACATAATATAATTGTGCCTGCTCCAGCCATGCTACAGCAGCAAAGTTTCTTAATTAGTATGCCAGAATGAAAGTATAGTTCCTAGCCATATTGACTTAGAAATTAGCAACTTTTATTTTTATGTCTTAGTATATGAGAGTCAACCTTTAAATAAGAAAATAATCAATATTATTCTCCCTGTGTTGGCGTGGGTTTCCTCCGTGTGCTCCGGTTTCCCTCACAGTCCAAAGACATGTGCTATAGGTGTATTAAAAAAACTAAATCGGCCATAGGGTATGAGTGTGTGCTAGATGACTGTGTATGGGTGTTTCCCAGTACTGGGTTGTGCTGGAAGGGCATCCACTGCGTACAAACATATGCTGGAATAGTCGGCGGTTCATTCGCTGTGGCGACCTTTAAATGGGAAAATAATCTAAATTCTTTTTCAATTTTTCTGAGCAAGATGCTAATGGTCTAATCCCATTCAATGATTTATGCTAAGCTAAGCTAAAAGTGCTCGCTCAGGTTGCATGAGTGGTAAAACTTAAATGTTTAACTGTATTGTTGATTTGTAAAATGAGTGTTCCTTCAAGTCCAACCTAGTCCAACAACCAATGAAGGACATATCTATAAACCTTTTGGTCCAAAATAATACATACATATAATACATAAAAATATGTTCTGAGCACAAATTCACATTCATTGTTGTCTGACCAAATCTGAACCCTACCCGGTCAGGACACAATATAATATTACTATTTCTGCTACATATTTCTCCATCCTTCTTGCTTCCGTAGCTTATTGCTTTGCTTTCTAATTGTTAGGCTAGAGGAAAAAAATGAAATCAGAATATGTTTACAAGCCTCTCGGGTGGTCAATTTTGATACATAATAAAAAACGATAGATAAATGTAATGCCAGAGCGGAAGAGAACAGCAGGAGACAGGTAATTTGTTGTGGATCGAGTACTTCATGGTGCGTGGTGACAGCGCGGAATGAATGCTGGGAAACCTTGCGGACTGTGTCTGTCTGTCACACACACACACACACACACACACACACACACACACACACACACACACACACACACACACACAAAACAGCATCCTAATCAACACACTCTATATTATCTGAGAGCCACTGCTGTTCTCCCGCTCTCAGACATGATGAATAAACCAACATCTCTAGTTCTGCTGCTTGAGGCTCTTTAGTGATTTTAAGCCTTTAGTAAGTTTTCGTTTTTTTATGCATGTAGTGATTTTGTGCAAGTAGCCATTGTGATCAATAGGGGAGGTTTACAGCTGAGAATTGACATTTCTACATTTTCAGGCTTTTCGTATGGTTAAGGTTTCTGTCATTTAATACAGTGTCAGCTGGTGAGGAAAAACTATGCTGAATGCATTCAATCATAATGCAGTGCACAAAAATAAAAGAGCATAATTAATTTTCTGAGTAATATTATTCCACTGTATGATAATATTTGAATATTGTTGATGAAGGGTTTTAATTTCCAGTAAAAAAAAAAAAAAAAAAAAAAAAACTTTAAAAGTGGTATGTATTTTATATATATATATATATATATATATATATATATATATATATATATATATAT